CATCATGAGCCGGGCGTAGCGTCGACCGACTCCGCACGCTCTCAGTACCGGCTTGTTGTGGGGGTCCCACGAGTCCAGGGCTCCCACGATCAGGGCATGTATCTGCATCTCATAGCCCTGGGCTCTCAGGGTCTCGGCCAGTGGGGTGTACTTCGACACCTTCCGTGCTCGGGCCCCGTGGAAGGCCGGTGACCGGTTTTCAAATGGCACCGTGACGTCTACCACGAGGACCTTCTTTTCTGCGTCCGTCACGACGATGTTGGGTCACAGTCTGCTGTCTGTCCCGGGGATGGCAGAGTCGAGGGAGTCTTCCCCAGGGACGGCAGGATGGCTTTCACCAGACAGTTCTGGATGGTGTTGTGGCGGTGCCACCAGGCTCCGGAGTGGGGCAGGGTCTCGTTTGCGTAGCCGCACTTCCTGCAGCACTTGTCCCAGTTGCCGTGGCAGATGGCTCCGTTGAGGGGAACGCAGTTGAGTCGGGTCCTGTGGTCGAACCACCAGTTGGCAAACCTGGTGAAGCTGCCCCCGGGGAAGAAGTGGTTGCTGGCGTCCCACTTGCTGGACACCTCGAACATCTTGCCCTGGTCCGGCTTCCGCTTGAGGTTCTCGGCATAGTGGCAGCGGATGGCGTCTTTCAGGGTCCTTTCTAGCATAGCTCTGGCGGTCAGGGGGTTAATGGTGGTGTGGTCCAGGGTCTTTATTCGTGGCACCAGTATTCCCACCACTCCTTGCACCACTTCCAGCTGCAGCCGATCCTCTTTCCCAGGCGTCTCGAGGCGTTGCGGGTGCGGGACCAGAGAGGGGACAGGTCTCCCCCCTCTCTCCCGAACTCAGCCTCCAGGGAGCCACTGAGGTAAGTGGTGACGTCCTGCTCGGAGGGGGCCCTGCTGAATGACCTGCTTGGTGAGTTTGCTAAGGCATTCTGAATCCCTGGTAGGTGTGATGCTCCCCTCAGGGATATGTTTCCATAGTAGTGGTTGCCTGACTTCTGATGGCATCTCAGTAATAGGCAGGGACATTTCCCTTCTCTGGGATTAATTTTTGTACTGCAGTGGAGACAAAGATCTAGATGCCGTAGGCATCCCCCACTGTACCCAGTAGGGCCAATGATAGAGCTGGTATGGTACTGGAGGCCACTTATGCCTAGATCAGGCCCTCCCATTCCTTTGATCTACTCTTGGCAGGATGACTCCTATGAGAGTGGGAACAATCCCTGGTTTTCCTGAAGTGGGAGACATCAGAACCCACTTCAGACTGAGGAGAAGTAGGAGTACTCCAAAGGCCAGGGTGGAGCGGTACCAGTCAGAGATGGGGAAAGTGATCTACAACAAGCCTTCAGCACCAGCAGCCATCCTGGGGCTTCCTGGCTATCAGGACAATGCACTGAGGCAGAGCAGTTACCATTGGTCTTGGAGCTGGCATTGGGGTTAATGGAAGCAGCACCGAACCTGAAGTTGCTGGCACCGTAACAGACCCCCAATGTGGAAGCCAACATGTGCACCATGTGCAACAGCCCCAGCAAGGTGCTGTCGGTCTAAATGATCAGTGAGGGCGGTACAGAGAGGCTCAGCAGATCCTATGAAGCTGTGTAGGCCTCCAGGGTGGCTGGTATGGGCCTTTGCCCTACTGTAAGCAAGGGCGGTAGCTCCATTGTTTGTGCTGAGGAAGCAGCCGCCCCCACCAGTCCTGGCACACGAACTGAAGTCAACACTTCTGCTCTGAGAGAACCACTAAAATGAGATAGAGGGAAGCAAGGGGCCAAAGTAGGTACTCTACCTTTGATACCGAAGTGGCTAGCCTCTGAGGCTGAGGAATCCCATACCGAGTACTTTGACATGAAGTTGTCCTCCTCTTCAGCTTCAGAGGCTGAGGGCACTCCAAGCACTGTTACCTCTTTGAGGACTGCCCGGTGAGGGGGATCTCCTCCTGTCTGTCCACAGGTAAGACTGGGGAACACTCGTGGATGGAGTGATTGAGGAACTCCCTCTATCCACAGAAGTAGTTCTGATGCTGGGCGAAGGGCGGCCTCCATGAGGAGGCACCCGAGATGTTCTTCTCTTTGCTTCTTAGTTCTTATCTTGAAGCCCAGGCAAATCAGACACACATTCCTGATGTGACCTCATTCAAACACTTCAAACAGTGAGTGAGGATCGCTCACGGGCACTGGCTTGGACACGTGGAGCAGGGCTTGATGCTGAGGGACACTGACTCTCTCTCTCTCTCTCCTCTCCCCCCACCCCCCACTCTACCTAGTATCAGGCAGAGCTCAAAGTCCACTGAGAGTCTGAACAATAGATAAATAATGAAAAAGTAAAAGGGGTCCAAGAGGTCCAAAAATGAGAACCACTAACAGCTCATTTAGAGTCACAGACTTTAAGGTCAGAAGGGACCATTATAATAGTCTAGTCTGACCTCCTGCACAATGCAGGCTGCAGAATCTCACCCACCCACTCCCGCAACAAACCCCTAACCTATGTCTGAGCCTCTGAAGTCCTCAAATCATGGTTTAAAAACTTCAAGGTGCAGAGAATCCTCCAGCAAGTGACCCATGCTCCACGCTGCAGAGGAAGGTGAAAAACCCCCAGGCCTCTGCCAATCTGCCCTGGAGGAAAATTCCTTCCTGACCCCAAATATGGCAATCAGCTAAACCCTGAGCATGTAGGCAAGACTCACCAGTCAGACACCCAGGAAAGAATTCTCTGTAGTAACTCAGATCCCACCCCATCTAACATCCCATCACAGGCCATTGGGCATATTTACCGCTAATAGTCAAAGATCAATTAATTGCCAAAATTAGGCTATCCCATTATACCATCCTTTCCATAAACTTATCAAGCTTAGTCTTGAAGCCAGATATGGCTTTTGCCCCAACTGCTCCCCTTGGAAGGCTGTTCCAGAACTTCACTCCTCTGATGGTTAGAATCCTTCATCTAATTTCAAGTCTAAACTTCCTGATGGCCAGTATATATCTATTTGTTCTTGTGTCCACATTGGTACTGAGCTTAAGTAACTCCTCTCCCTCCCTGGTATTTATCCCTCTGATATAGTTATAGAGAGGGATCATATCTCCCCTCAGCCTTCTTCTGGTTAGGCTAAACAAGACGAGCTCTTTGAGTCTCCTTTCATAAGACAGGTTTTCCATTCCTCAGATCATCTAGTAGCCCTTCTCCGTATCTGTTCCAGTTTGAATTCATCCTTCTTAAACATGGGAGACCAGAACTGCACACAGTATTCCAGATGAGGTCTCACCAGTGCTTTGTATAACAGTACTAACACCTCCTTTTCTCTACTGGAAATATCTCGCCTAATGCATCCCAAGACTGCTTTAGCTTTTTTCACGGCCATATCACATTGGCAGCTCATAGTCATCTTGTGATCAACCAATACTCGGAGGTCCTTCTCCTTCTCAGTTAATTCCAACTGATGAGTCCCCAGCTTATAACAAAAATTCTTCTTATTCATCCCTAAATGCATGACCTTGCACTTTTCACTATTAAATTTCATCCTATTACTATTACTCCAGTTTACAAGGTCATCCAGATCTTCCTGTATGATATCCTGGTCCTTCTCTGTATTGGCAATACCTCCCAGCTTTGTGTCATCCGCAAACTTTATTAGCGCATTCCAACTTTTTGTGCCAAGGTCAGTAATAAAAAGATTAAATAAGATTGGTCCCAAAACCGATCCCTGAGGAACTCCACTGGTAACCTCCCTCCAGCCTGACCGTTCACCTTTCAGTAGAACCCATTGTAGTCTCCCCCCTTTAACCAGTTCCTTATCCACTTTTCAATTTTCATATTGATCCCCATCTTTTCCAATTTAACTAATAATTCCCCATGTGGAACCATATCAAATGCCTTACTGAAATAGAGGTAAATTACAACCACTGCGTTCCTTTATCTAAAAAAGGATGTTACCTTCTCAAAGAAGGAGATCAGAAGGAACAAGATTATTTGCAGAAGGAACAAGCTGACCGCATGCTCTGACCAACCGCACTAAGGAACTGAACGAAGGGCAGGACAGCTCTGCCACTTCATACTCCGCTCGGAACATGAGGGACATCATAGCACAGGAGTGGCCGCCTCTACTGGTGCTGCTAGGGAAAATTCTCCACCATTGGCGCACATACACCTACTGTAAATGGACATATCCAATCAAGCAAAGATAAAGTATTATGAAGCAAAAGGAGGTCAAGCAGGTAAAGATGGACAGAGCAGCAAACCATTATGACAACTTAGACTAAAGGAGGACAGTCTGAATTGTTCCAAGATCACTTAAACATATCTAGAGGATATGTATGATTAATAGTCATGGACTAGATTGCAGGTGGTTGGTCTTATCAAGATCTCAGATTCTAAGAAATTACATTCATTGTAAGTGGCCAAATCAGAGACTTGACGACTTTCCACCCTGTTTCGAAAACTAGATTATAAATTGAAATCTTACAGCTACACTTATTGTCTCCTCACTCTCCATTTGTAAATAGAAATGCTCACTTACACAAACTGCGTTAATATCAGACACATGCCCTGTGAAAGACTGCCTGCACATTCCATCGCGAATATCCCAAAGCTTGGAGGAGGCATCACAGGCACCAGAAACAAAAGTCCTCATGTCTGGACTTAGGGATAAACTCATCACATCTCCGGTATGCCCAGTGAAGGTGGTGGTCTGTTGACCAGTTTCAATGTCCCAAAGAGCACTGCAGATAAAACAGATGTATTTCAGCAATATAATGGGGTTTCTGCAAGTTTAGCTTAAAAACAATCGAAGCACTGAAAAAAAAAAGAAAACCACCAATTACCCCCCACCTCCAAAACTCACCAGGTGGTGTCCCCTGAACTTGTAACAATTTGGTTGTCATCTAGAAAACGACAGCAGGACAAGTATCCTAGGAACAGAATAATGGCAGATGTCAATTTCATACCCCACTGTCGCAGTAAAAGTTATTCAAAAAACCTTCTCAGTATGTCACACAACCACCACTTGATGCTACTTGTATTTTAAAAATAGCAGTACAGAAGCCAAATTCACTGAAGTATGTACTGCTCCATTTGCTCAGATAGCTACTGGTAGCATCTCACTGATAGAACTAAACCAACACAGAATTTAGCATTAAGACTGATAAAGGCAAAATGAGTGACATACAAAAAGTGATTCCTAAATCTGATCAAAACCAAGATTAGACTATATTCCATTTTGCAAATTGTTAACACTTGTTTTCACTTTAGGGCATGCTGTGAACATGCTTGTGACTGTTTTACTTTGACTAACAGTAAAGAAAAATAAATGTAGTAAAATGCAGCTGACCTGTATGCCCTGGTAACTCTCTGCTCACTCTCACATTGCCCTCTCTGGTTTTCAAATTATATATGGAACAGATGTTGTCCAATCCACCACAAGCGACATAGTTGCCAGAAGGAGCATATGCACAGGTCATCACCCAGGAAGATCTTAAAGGAATGGCATGCATCTACAGAGAGACAAGGCATATTAGAACTACACCACATTTTAGGCAGTCACACTCAACCATAGCCATTCTTGTCCAACCTTCTGCATCTAGTTATCTGTAATACTGCTTTAGCATTGTAGCAGATGCTACTAAATAAGATAGTGGGATATACAAGTAATAAAGAATCTGATTTTAAACACGCTTCAATTTGTGCTGAATATTTACTTAAGGGATGGAAAAAATGGTCGCCTGGTTAGATGTGTGCAAGTTCAATACAATCGTTTTATAGTATCAGAGCTATTCTGAAATTAAGGATTACTAGTTAAACATGCAACAGGTTTCGTTCTATTCAAATTCCTCCCTCCAGTTGGTCTTCCTGAGCCAGAACCTCAACTGGGGTCGATTGGCATAGCTCCACCAATGAAGCTATGCCAATTGCCATTAGCAGAGGAGCTGCACCCCAGTCCTTCCTCGTTTGATCAAGATTTCTCACTCTCTCTGTCCCAAGGAGCTAAACATCTATTATAATGGATTTATATCAATTCTCTGTAAACCCTGGGATTGTGTGCTTCTGCAACAGAATAGCAGAGCATGTGCCACAGAAACAACAGCACAAGTAGGATGGACAGTTGCAAAAACAACAGTAACAAGGAGTTAGTTATTAAAACTCCTTAGAAAGATTCCCCACCCACCCACGCCCGACACACACAAATGCTTGGCCAATGAACACCAGGAGCACTGCTAAGCTTCCAAGGGATCCCATGCTAACCACATTACTTCTGCAGCACACCTTACCAGTGATCTCAGAGATAGTTATCAGAGGGTTATAAAAAACCTAAATATTCTTTTCTCCCAGCAAGCAAGCTACAGTGAATAGAAGCAAAGGCTCAACATATAGAAATAGGAATTACCCAAGCTAAAATGCACTTTGAATAAAAAGCTGGACATAAAAAATAATGAAAGCAAGCTAGTTAAAACTTCAACAGGAAAAAGTGATGGAGCCAATCCAACTAAAAGAAAAGTGGTACAGAAAGAAGGAACTAAAACAAAAGTGTCACTTGTTTGTACAGATTACAAATATGGATTATAAACAACTCTACCTTGTTTGTTGTATAACTATCCCAAATAATTAATTTTCCATCTTGGGAAGCGCTGACTAGTAGTCTAAAGATAACCACAAAACAGAAATATTAACATGTTAACTTCTTGTCTCATACTTAATTTCAAAATAGACAAGATGCATGAATGTCAAGTAATTCAGAAAAGCCTTTTCATTTTCTCCTTTTGTCTATTTTTAAACTTTCTAGGGCCAAAAGTTGGTGGACAGCTGCAAAGAACAATGTGTTGCTTGCTAGAAAATCTTACCTGAATCCATGGATAAACTTCCACTATTAAAACAAGCTAGAATAACTGACATTTAAAACTGCTCAAGCTATTTACAAATTTTATAACCTCTCCCTACTGGTTGTTTGTATCCTTCAGATTCAGTGTTTTAGTATCATAAATGTAGTATAGATACTCCTGGTCTAGACAAGCCAGAACAAAGTATCACCAGGTACAATTAGCCTCTGGAATGCCTACCATATGTTGAGATGGCTATTGGTTGTTCAAAAAAACTTTGGAAGGAGTTATTTTACATTTAAGAAGCCTTTTGTTCCATCAGAACTAATGAACAAGTTGCATCTGTTTTCTTCATTTACATATACCTTTTGGTAGTGGGGAAGGCACTATAGACATTTTGAAGAGTTTTTGATAAAAACTTCCAATGAATCAATCTAACGCATTATGCATGTATTTAAATCTTATTTGGCTTATTTGTCAATTCTTTTGATGAATTTCTTATACTAATAATCAGAACTATACTGAATTAGCTGCAGCACAACAAGGCAGACTACATTTATTGTTGTGATTTAGAAAACACACATTTTAATTCACTGAAAAATATCGTTATTCCATGTCTTTACAGTGTTCTATTAACTTAAAATACATTTGCACTAAATCAACTATTTCAAGCTACATGACCTTTCATAGCTTAAGGGAAAATGTAATACAAAGAATTCTGAAGTTAAGTGCCACCCTAAACCAGGCTCTCAGATTTGAAGAATCTGTAATATACCATCTGAAAGACCAGACAAAATGCTTGTGGAAAATAAAAGTGAAGCATATATCCTTATAATGGAATGATTTCCCTTTTCATTATTTCTGTATGATTATAACTGGCTTTAAAAAGGAAAGCTGTAGTATAAACATTTCTCAAAATTTGCTATGATCTATGGCCCTCAAAAGTGTCTGAAGACTGAAAGTATGTCTAGACTGCAATTAGACACCCGCAGCTGGCTTGTGCCAACTGACTCAGGCTAAGGGGCTGTTTAATTGTGGCGTAGACTTTCGGGCTCGCGCACATCTATAGTGCAATTAAATAGCCCTTTAGCCCAAGCCAGCTGGCACGGACCAGCTGTGGGTTTTTAACTGGAGTGTAGACATACCCAGAGTGGTCCCACAAGATGTCTGGATTTTCTTGTAATAGACAAACTCAATAAAGACAATGGATTTATGGCTCATTACAACAATCTTTGACCGAATAACCCTTCTTTGTCCTATAACTGCAGACGTGTTAACTGCCAACTTCATTGTGGTCTCTTACAATGTGATAACTCCTTATGCTTAACAATCTGTTCCAACTTGTATTTAGCTGTGACAATCTAGCCAGATCTACACTGCAGATTTATACTGGTAAAACTACATTGACCTAATCCCCGGTGTAGACAGAGGTAGATTAACTACGCCGACAGGAAAAGCTCTCCCATTGGCATAGCAGCATCTTCACGGAAGTGCTACAGCAGTGCAGCTGTGCCATTGTAGCTTGGTACGTGAAGACAAGCCCTTTAAGTACCTTTCCCAGACCTGAAGAGCTCTGAAAAAGCTTGAAAGCTTGTCTCTTTCACCAACCAAAGTTGGTCCAACAAAAGATATTACCTCACCCACCTTGTCTCTCTAGTAAGCCTACAATTCTTTCAAGAGCTAGAAAAGGGATCCCTCTGCCTCCAAGTTCAAGAACCACTTGTACAAACCTTGAATCAGATCCCCAGTGCATAGCATAAATTTTAGCTAAGTGACCTCTCAGTGTACGTCTTGTTCGCATTTGGATTCGACCCACTGAGTCCAGACTTGTGGTGATCTGAACAGGAAAAAAACCACAAACCAAACAATTATTCTGTATCTCCGAGATGGTCATAAATGTGTACAACACGCAAACTGCCAGGAACATAAAAATTTTGCACCACTAGAATTTAGACATACAACAGGGACTACGGCTTCCACAGAAACAGTGCACAATGATGCGATAGTGTAGCCAGTCAAAAGGTTTTGCAAGAAAATCAGGGTATCCGTGACAGTGAACGGAATGATGGTCGCTACTCTAAATGTTTCAGACTGTTTCAGGCACTTTGTAGATGGAGCTTCTGTATGTATTAGGTGTGAACTTTATTTTTACATTAAAGCTTTATGGAAGTTGACAATTCACACCCTCAAAATAATAGCCCCAGAGGAAAATCATCATTTAAGTATTTATTCCAGTGTCATTTTTTGGTAGTCTGATAACTGCCACCTAAGAGCCCAGACCTGGATTTTAAATGAAAAACGTCAGTTTCCAAATAAAATGGACAGCTTATACATAGCTAAGTTGGAGCAACTCAAAGCTAAACCGTTATGCCATACAGTTTCATGAAATATTTTAAAAGGTGAATTATGGAAAATATGTATAATATTTAATATAATATATAATAAAGAAATCTATCCAAGGTATTTCTGATGTATGTAGGTGTCTCATGGCTTTAGAGCTTTTTGACTGGCTGCAAATAATACCTGTAAAGGCCTTAGCTTTTTTTTCCCCCCATCCTCTGTAATTATTGCTTCAATTTCATAATTGTAAATAGTGCACTAAGCAATGTACTTCAAGAGTTGTTGCACTTCATCTTTTTCAGCCACCATACCAGGCATGTTATAATCATTCAAGAAACCTATTGCCTTGTAGGGGCTACTTCCCAATATAAAAATAATGACATACCTGAGCAAGAGTTGTATCACTACATGCTTTTCTGGCATCCTGAAACAGAGAAAGGAACTATTAATATGACTCTTGAACACAGTAACAGTGTACATCAACTGAAAAGGTTACCTATAGAAAAGTTATTTTACACCAAGACTTTTTCAAAATCTGTTGGAAAACAAAGATTCATTGTTCAAAAAAAGTATGCAAGAATCCTTATGTTCAGTATTCCCACCCCATTCATGTGGGCAAGTTATGGTGTCTAAGAAATCTGAAGTATTGCAACAGAAAACAGCTGCCAGACTTGCTTACATATAATTTATACCTAGACAAGTTCCAAGTCAACCTCTTTGCAATCTTGTGGGACGGCCTCTTGTTTTTATGCTGTACTACTCTGCCTATGTGTCAAGGGCTAAGTGGTGAATCCAAAAACACTTTAGAGTAGTCCCTTCATTATGAAGTATTTCGGTAAGAATCTAAAATGTGGGCTGAATAAGATAAGAACAGGGGAGAACACAAAATGCTGGCAAAGGTGAAAAAGTGATTAGGGCCAGCACAAGTGTGTCAGTCAAGGATCACACCTCCTTGCACCCCTGACTAACATAGCTGTGCTGGTAGAAGGCTCTGGTGCAGACAGTTATACTAGCAAAACTGCGCTTTTGCTGGTATAGACTTATTTCATTTGGCCTGGGTAGATAAGGGAATTGGGAGCCTGGAATAAGATGCATTGGAAAAGCATAGCTATACTGTTATAAGCTGCATCCAAACTACGTGTGTTTTGCCAGTACCACACACTAGAATAGCCATACTGGCAAAGCACTCCTAGTCTGGATGCAGCTTGTCCTAGTAAAGGTAGTGCTTTGTACCAGTACAGTAATCCCACCCCTCAATGAGCAAAATCGCCACGTGTGTATGCACCATATCTTCAATTACATGAGCACAAACTACTTTTTCCACACCACCCCTGCTTCATTCAGTGCACAATGAATGAGGAAGCTATTCAAATTTTGTTTTCTCCTCACTGTTCTATGTGTGGCCCCATGTCTTATTTATTGCACACTATTCAACCCTTGATCTGAAGACATAATTATCAGTTTCCTTGTGGGTTTTTCCTTTGGTGCTCATCATTATAATGAATTAATTTTTACAAAATCCACATGAGGTGAGAGGGTATTACTCCATTTTACACATGGGGAGCTGAGGCAGAGAAATTAAGGTCAAAGTGCCCACTGTTTTGGGGTGCCCAATTTGAGAAGCATAGGATCAGATTTTTCAGAGAATTTAGCATTATATAGCACTTCATATGTTCAAAGCACAGCTCCCACTGACTTCAGTTGCAGCTGTGAGTGCTCAGCACTTCTGCAAATCAGATCCCAGGGTCTCACTTTAGGAACCCAGAAAATGATGAACGCACAATTAGAGACCATGTGTGAAAAGTCTAGTTTAAATGACTAGTCCAGTATCAGATAGGAACTCAGTGGTCAAGGCAGGGATAGAATCCAATTCTCCAGAGCAGCATGCAACTGCATTAAGGACCCTCTCCTTTCCTGCACCCCCCCTCCTCCCCGCCCCACCTTATTCACTAGACACCTTCCAACTTCCACAATAAATAAAGTAGGCACAATACAGACAGTTGCTTTCACTGCACAACCCTGATTCATCTCCAGGACAGGGTGGACTGAATGAGGGGAAAGAAAGTATGTGGTCATGTAATTAGAGATTGTGTCAGTGCCTACCTTAATTCTGGCATTTTCTAGCTTCTCAGTTGTTTACTTTGCAACCTTAATAATGTTCTTTTAAATTTAGTTGGTATATTTTAACTTCCTACTTTAAAAACAAAACAAAGTAAGGTAATGGACACTAGCTGCTCTTAATAGTTTTCTTTCCAAAAATAAGCTCAAGAGCTGATTAGGTCACCTCAATCCATTTCTTACAGTGTCTGAACTGCAGAAATATTTACAAAATGTTGACATCTTGAATCAGAAACAGTTTAAAATACCAAACACCAAATCTCTTAGTGTTCAGGAATCCTTTCACTCACAAGAAGAAATACACTGGATATTAAAGCTGAGCAATTAAATTCATTGTTTAGTTACAACAGCTGAAGAGGCCCAACACTAAATTTATTTCAGATGCGATCTTTTAACTAGGCCAGAACTGTTTTTTATTATTAATATAATAGCAAAATTTGACAGCACCACCTATAACTATAATGGGATGTGTCAGACAACTTTAAGACTTTGTTCTTCCGTCGCTTATAACTTTGGTGAATTTTAACAGTTCATGCTGAAGATTTCCAGACTGCTTCAGGCTGAATTTTATTTATCTATCTTTCAGCAAAAAGGTCCAGCTGTTTGAGAACAAGGTTAAGGAAAAAATTAAATTTAAGTTTTGCCCATGTTAAATAAATTCTTACAACCATTTCATTGAGAAGTTCTAAAACCTCCACACTTTGGAGCAAGGGTTTGAAATCTGATGGTGGTTTCCCCCCACCACACACACACTCCTAACCCACAAAAGTTTTGTCAACAAAGGTACTAAGGCAGACAAAGCCAAGGACTAGGCGGTGGAGGGGGGTGATAGTAGGAGGGAACTGACAAGATAGATTGGAGATGGCTGGGTGAGGCCACCAGGGGAGATTGGGGTGAGGAGTATGAACTGGAAATCAGATAGGAAGCACTGAAATAGAGACTGGGGTCGGCTATGTGAAGAGACTGGGAAGAAGAGACTGGGTCAGAAAGGGGGGCAGGTCAATACAGGGACAGAAGGGGGTCAGGCTTGTGGAGAACACTGTAGAAAGGTCTGTGACCATTAGAGAACTCTTCAGAACCTGCAATGGAACCCACGATTCCCAAGTCAACAACCTCTGCTGTCAGCAAGTTACACTGCTATGTGTTACTTTTGTTACTCAAGAAGCAGAGACCTGTGCTATGAATCTAAAGGCTCAAATCCTGCTGGTGACCCATGGGGATGTCAATATGATTTCACGTACCAAACATAAAAAGATAAATTCCACTTTTAAAAACTTAAGCAATTATAGATAAAAGCTATTAAAAGTTAAAGTTGCAAAGTAAGGCACTCAAAAATTAGGAAGTGTCAGAATTAAGGTTGTCTGTCCTTGTGTGTACATATTATGACACAGTCTTTAATGACATGATCACATACTATTTTTTCCCCCACAAGATCCCTGCCTCGTTCAGTGCATAGTGATCACTGAATGAGACACTATTCCATTTGTTGTTCTCTTCAGTGTTCAATGGGTTGTCCTGTGCCTTATTTACTGCACACTATTCAGAAAAAGAGTATGAATACAGAATTATTAATTTTCTCATGGACTTTTCTATGGCGCTCATCACTGTAGTATCTGAATGCTTCACAGATATTAATTTATTTTCACAACACCCATAAAGTGAAGTGAAGGTATAATGTCCATTTTACAGATGGGGAACTGAGGCACAGAGAGATTAAACTCACAAGGGTCCATTAATTTTTGGGTGCCCAATTTGCAGTGCCTAGGGCTTGTTTTCTCAGAGTAATTAGCATTATATAGCACAGTGGTTCTCAAACCTTTGTACTGGTGACCCCTTTCACAGAGCAAGCCTCTGAGTGCGACCCCCCCCTTATACATTAAAAACACTTTTAACCCCCATTATAAATGCTGGATGCAAAGTGAGGTTTGGGGTGGAGGCTGACAGCTCGCAAACCCCCCATGTAATAACCTTGCAACCTCCTGAAGGATCCTAAGCCCCAGTTTGAGAACCCCTGATATAGCACCTTACATGTTCAAAGCATAGCTTCTATTGAGTGCAGTTGTAGCTGTGACTGCTTAGCACATCTGCCAATCAGACCCCAGGGTCTCACTTTGGGTTCTTAGAAAATAAGTAACAACTAGTGACCACCAGTGAAAATTTTGGTTTAAGTGACTAGGCCAGTATCAGATAGTAATTCTATAGTGCAGTGTGCAGGTACAGAATCCAATTCTCTAGGGCAGTATTCAACTGCCATAAGACACTCCCTTCTGTTCCTTCAACCCCCTCCCTCATTCACTACACACCTTCCAAATTTCTACAACAAATGAGGTAGGCATCCTGCAGACAACAGCTGCTTTCACTACCACAAACCTAATTCATCCCCAAAGCGCACACAGTCCTATGCACTAAATAAGGCAAGGATCTTGTGAAAAAGCTAGTCTAATTATATGATCTCCTATTATCATGATGCATACACACAGGGACAGGCAACCTTAATTCTGATATTTCCCAGGGTTTGATTGCTAGACTTTGAAACCCTAACACTGTTTTGTGTGTGCAAATATATACATCTTGGTAGTGCCCAAATGCCCCAATTAGCACCAAGACCCCCATTATAGATTTAACGTCAAGGTTGAACCCTATGTACTACAATTTATTCTAATTTAGGATGCTGCTAATTTAAATATCTTTAATCCACTGATTTAGAATACAAGACTGGTATAACATTTTTAAAGAATCTCAGATATCCCAAAACATAAAAAGGTTTGTAAGTAACCAAGACAGCCAGCAGCTACCAAGAAAAAGAGGAAGATTTGGAATAGCTAGAATACACTAGGAATTTTCCAAGACAGCTTTCATTATAATTAAACCAATGAGAACCGTAAAAGATTTGGAGAAATAAGTACCACCAATATTTACATATCTAGGATGTTTATATGTAAAATAAATGTGATGCTGGAGAAGCCCAAATTACAGCTACACATAGTAAATCCATTTGTTTCAACAGTCCCGTACATCCTATGGACCAGTTTTTTGAGGGAGGTGGTTTAGCATTTATAACAAAAAAGAACCTATGGGGGGAGGGATAGCTCAGTGCTTTGAGCATTGGCCTGCTAAACCCAGGGTTGAGAGTTCAATCCTTGAGGGGGGCCACTTAGGAATCTGGGGCAAAAATCAGTACTTGGTCCTGCTAGTGAAGGCAGGGGGCTGGACTCAATGACCTTTTCGGGGATCCCTTCCAGTTCTAGGAGATGTATATAAATAAAATATATGGAGATATACCTATTTTAGAAAATGTAAGAGCCTCATGTTTGAAACACTTTGCAATGCACCTCATCTAAATCTACACCTACATTTTGGTTTATTTGGAGAAGGTTGAAGAACAACTAATGAAAATGTGTATTTGTTATTCTCTTACTAGAAACACAAACTATGTGAGCAATCAAAAAATGGTCATTTAGAATTAGGACATTATATCATGTTTACCATCAGCAGTACATCAAAATAAAAACTACTGTGTCCTACTCTCCCAAGCCAAAATTCAGAGCAAGAAATTAGAAAGAAAAATTTGAATTGATTTAACAAGTAAGCAAGATTGACCCCTCACCTAACTGAAATATTAGTCTGTAATTATTTTCTTAAAAACTGACCAGATTGTGCAATGTGACCTGAACTGGACACATTGCAAGCTACTAACTAGGCCAGAAGAAATGTTTCAAGGACTCTCTCAAGTTATCTTTGAGGCGTTTCAACATTGACCCAGAGTTTTGGGAAGATCTCGCTCATGATCATTCTACCCGGTGAAGCCTCATTCCATACTAGAGCTACAGTCTATGAGCAGAGTAGAACTGCTGAGGCAGAGGAGAAGCGCCAGCAGCATAAATATGGCAACAGCAGCATGTCTGCTGTTAATCAAGTAACGCATAGCAGCATTGTGTGTTCAGTGTGCCACACACAGTTCAAAGCTCAAACTGGCCTAGCCAGCCACTCACGTGTTCACAGAAACCAAACCAATCAGTGATATCACGCTCATCTTTGAACTCAAAGGACGAACAACAGTGTATAGTAATACTAAGTTAGTTTTTTTTTTCTTCTTTAATATATTGTGACTAATTTTATAAGGCTCCCCAATCCTGCAATTTGAGCCATGCAAGCGAACACCAATGCCAATATAGAGCCCTACTGACTTCAGTGGTGCTTGTCATGGATGCAGAAGTACATCTGCCAGGCTCCAATTGCAGATGTGGGGCCCAACAGAGACATAGGTCTTACTAAATCCATTTTACCCAATTCAGCTACACTGTAGTGCTAATGTAACATTAAATTAAAATAATGGCTAAATTTAACCAAATTGCTGAGGTCAGCTAGGGAGAGTCCTTAGTGCTGTAACTCTCCTGACATTAACTGGCCTTGACCTTACTTTTGAATACATACTGAGAAAGTTAAAGGACATGTGACACAGAACTCTCCCCAGATAACCTTGAACCAGTCTCAAAAGAGCCCTAAATGTGCTACAAGCAGCCTTTCCCCCCAAAAAAACAATTAATGCATGGCAAATGCACAGCACATGGACAATATCTTCATCAGTAGTTCAATGCCCAAAACACTGAGTAGGCAGCAGATTATCACAAGACAACTGATGTCAGGCTGAAAGTACCATATATATTCATTCATAAGCCAAATTTTTTTTAGTAAAAAAGGGAAGCACCAGACAAGGGGGTCGGCTTATGAACGGATACAGAGACAGAGAGGTGGGACACAACCCCTCCCTCCAACAGAGGGAGCAAGGAGAGGCAGCACAGCCAGAAGGGAAGAGGCGGGGCCAGTGTCTCTTCGCTTCTGGCCACACTGCTGCGAAGCAGCTGCAGCTCCGGTGCTGGCAGGCTGCCGCCGTGCCACCCGGCCCGGCCCACCAGAGCAGGCTGCGGC